ACTTTAACTTTTCATTCAAAAAAAATCTTTTTTCGGGCTGGACTCAAATTGTAGTGGTGTACCTTACGTTCTTATGGTGTTTTGCTTTTAGCAAGGGCCGTGGATTCAATTAAATTTCTTCACTTGAATTACATTATGTGTCCTAGATTCTTAAAGAACACACACTTACACAACAAGTAATAAGTTTTTGTGTGCAGTTATTTAAACTCCTCATGAAATAAGTAAATGAGAACTGTTTGGTATCTTGTGGAGATGAAAAGCTGTAGGGGAATTAATTACTTTTACCTACACTTATACCTATATTAGTGAGCGACATGAAAAAATCTTCTAAAAGAGACGTTTTTTATTTTTACCGTTCCATGTCGCTAGTATAACAATTATTCATCTCCCTGTGAAACTTAAAAAATATGCTTCATTCTATCAAAGAAGATTCAAGAGTATCGTTTAATGAGACACATTTTTTTGACAACAAATTTCACGTCTTATTTATTATTATTAATAAATAAGACGTGAAATTTGTTGAAGTTGAACATTATTAACTTTACATTTTCAGCAGGGGAAATCTAACGGCTGAATCTACAATGTTTCGATCTTATTTTCTGGAAAACCCAAAGGTGTTTCAGAAAATTTCTTTAGATGGAAAATGTGGCTGCATTCTTAAATGGTTTTTGCATAATGTATTTTTGTAATTCTTCTTTAATACTAATATACTATTATTAGAAAATCTATTTGATCAAATGAAATATAAAAAGGCATACTTATATTGTAATTTCGTCTCATCGTGATCTATAAATAGCTTATTCAATAAGCAAAGAATTATCTGAGATTGGGATAGGATTGCGCCCAACGATGTTCTCTGGGGATTATTGGAGTTAGGTAAGTGAATTGTAGCATTTTGAGATGATAATTTTCTGAAGGAAAATACTTTTCTTAGAGAAAATAACCCAAACCAAACAATAAAACTAAAACAGACAGAAAATTCATACTTGTTCGTAAAACAGGCCGTTAACTACGTAGAATGTCATACAATTTTAACACATAGCTCTACATAATAATAATAATAAATATGTCATCTTATATAATATGATCATTAAGATAAAAGGTAAATATAAATCACAAAATTCAAATGTAATAAGGTCTTTGTCATATTTTTTAGTATGTGGAATTGTAGTCTGTATGCTTTTCAGGCCCCTGAATGACGGACGAATATCAATACCATTCATACGAGTAATAGCATCATCTAACTAAATGAAGGAGGAGCGTTCACGACTCAAGCATCAGAGCACTATGAAAACAGTGTTTTCAATTAAAATCGGTTTAAATATTTATTACAAGGCTTAAGGTAGATTGGAGCGGAGCGAATTTGGTTTGCAAATTATTTCAATTAGAATAGAATCACTCTGTAACGAGCCCATTACGAATATTAACGATAGTGAAGCTTCAGAGCTGTAGTCAAGATGGATTATGAGGCTCGATAGTAAAGACTTTAGAGTAAAACTTTACACTACAGTAAATTGACCTTGATTTACTACTAGTGGCCCGCCCTGACTTCTCAAGGCTAGATAGTAATTTAACAAAATTATATTTTTAAATATTTTTTTATGAAGTCATAAAAAATCTAATAGTTAAATAATTTTTCAAATCGGTCCAGTAGTTTCAGAGTCTATTCAATACAAACATACAAAAATACAAAATTTTCCTTTTTAAGTGGGTATAGATATACAGGGTGTTAGGTAAATGGGTATATGAGCCGACACTAGCCCATGTTAACATGGTCATATAAATGGTATGGTGAAGTCAGAAAATTGATATCTTCATTTTAATTATTTTATTTTTCATACAAATCGGATTTTATAAAATTAATTTTGTATGAAAATTAAAAAAACTAAAATGATGATATCAAATTTCTGACTTCACCATACCATTTATATGACCATGTTAACATGGGCTAGTGTCGGCTCATATACCCATTTACCTAACACCCTGTAAAGTTTTGTCCTCTTTGTTGACCCATTGGCCTATTTATTAATATAATCAATATGATGTAATAACTCATTTCAAATTTCAAATTGAATGAACCCAATTACCCAGTTCGATTACATTCATAACTTCTAAATTGACTTAAAGCCAATTCCCTTTCTCAATTTACTTTATACAGTTGTTACATAAATTGTAGTAGGTATAGTAAGTACCAAAACTTTTGCTAACAATAATTTATTCTTGTAATGAAATTTACTATAGAAGAGCGGAGCTTCCTAGCACAAGCTAAACTGGATGCTTTGTAGGAAGCCCCAAATAAATGACATTTAAATATGTAAAAGTTACAGAAATAAACTGAAACTTTATTATTATTATTACATAACTAAGAGAAAACTAATCAGTCAGGCCACTTCGCGTATTAATATTAAGCGCGTGTGATGGGGGATGCCTGCAGTGAAAGACTCCCCTGCCCACTTGTTGCGGTCACTGCGGAGGGAGGCAATCTTTTAAATAGGGGCCGAGATCATCCCACACTTATTCAGGGTATTCTTATGTAGATGCTTTCATTCATTATATTCGATTCTTCATATTCATTTGTAATTAATTTCAAGGAAAATATTCAATTAAAATCAATATGTATTTGTGAAAATGTGGATGAAAACACTAAATTTTACCATACACACATATTTTTCATCTTCATATTATTATTTTTTCAACCAATAGGTAGTTGTCCACTCATAAAGTATAGGCCAGTAAAATCTTTCTACGAAATGGTTCGAAGGGCATACCTTCAGGTAGCTTAAACTTAACCTGAAAACTATAAAGGTCGTCCGTCAATCGAACTTCATGATTTCTAATCAATATTGAATAAGAATGAACTTTATCGAAGTAATCGACACCTATCGAGCTAAGTTACTAGTTTTATTTTAGTTTTGTGATTGGATACTTTCTAGGTATTCGTTACATTTGCGTTATTTTTGTATTAACCAATTAAGTAGGTAACTTACTATGTTTTGTTAAGAAAATTGGTTTGGCTAATAAAAGTTCTTTAAAAGTAGGCGGTTTGTTAGTTTTCAACAAAACTCACATTGGAAATTTCTTCACCCATGTGCCCTTTGAGTAATGAAAATATTTATAAAACTTTCATGGCATAAATTGTGTAATTTTGAAAAAGGGACTCAGATCAGACACAAATAAATAAAGGAAAAGTCATCATCTTCATCTCAGCCATAGGACGTCCACTGCTTTCCATGTTACCCGGTTGGTAGCGGCCTGCGTCCAGCGCTTTCCTGGTACATTTATGATGTCGTCGGTCCACCTTGTGGGTGGACGTCCCACGCTGCGTTTTCCGGTACGCGGCCTCCACTCCAGAACCTTGCTGAAGGAAAATTACCTACACACATTTTAATTACAATATTAGAATAACTCAAATCGGTTATCAAAAACTTAATATGCCTACTCCTAAAAACAACAGTAAAATTACACGTTCCTGGAATAACTCCCTTTTATAGACTTATGTGCCAGACGAGCACACAGCGTCTTTGCTCACAGTTAGGTACAACAAAGGAAAAGCCCGGCTCCCAGCTGTAAGTAAGCCAGGCCAACTTATAACAAGTCTAGACTGGAGTCAGCACTAATTTCGTCTCGCTCCTGAATTGTCTGCGAGTTTACGACAGAATGGAATTTGATTACTTTATATTCCCGCGGTTTAGGGTGCAGAGTTAATAGATTTTATAAAGTATTTTACCCTCAAGGACTTTATTTTATTGAAGAATTACGAGTACTTTAAATGGTAATCTAATTTAAATTATTATTTAGTTTTAAAATAATGTAAGCTTTCTTTTGATATTATTGAGTGAGACAAATAATAATTCAAGATTATTACCCCTTACAAACATACAACTATTTTTTATACTGAGTAGGTCAATTAATAATTACATTAATATATTTATTAATAACATGGCAACACTAGTTTAGTTATTGTTAATCACACTATGATAATCTATCTATATAAATAAAAATGAATTATTGTTCGTTAGTCTGATTAAAACTCGAGAACGGCTCGGCCGATTGAGCTGATTTTGGTTTTAAAATGTTTGTCGTAGTCCAGGGTAGGTCTAAAGTCTAAACGGTGAGCAAATAAGGAAAAATTGCGATGGCTTATTTATTGCCTTTAAGGCGGAACAGACTTCGCGGGGTCAGCTAGTTATGATAAAAATATTAAGTAAAGTAACAATTTTTAGATTATAGCGTACATTGTAACGTGAAAAGCGAGCAGATAACCGATAAACCAAACGTACTATAATACTCGGCATGTTTGCAGACACCTACAAAACACGATTTTGCTTTTTGATATTAGCCGTGACTTGTATGTTACTTTTACGAGATCGTACACTGATAAATAAACGCCTTTTAAAGGATTTTTGCTATGCCTCAATAAAAAGTATAAATTAAAAAGCTTATTAAATGTTTATTAGTGTCATAAAAAATCAACAATCAACACAAAAATACATAAGAATAAAGATACAAATAGGTATATACTACAACTTACCTGACAGAGAGAACATTCCCGTAAACAGCTCCAAATGCACTCAAATTATAACACCACCACAATTCCAGCACTTAACATAAGTAAACGCAGTCCGCAATGCACTTGCAACGTTCATCCAATTACTGTTTTGTTCCAGGTTAATTACGACGCCGGAGATCCAGTCCCGGCCCTATCGCGTGTAAATAGCTTCTAAAATGAAAATAAGTTGTAAATAGAACCTTCCTTAGTCTCTATAGCACACACTCTCATCTTCTATTCATTAATTAGATCAAAATATTTTAGTGAAAACTTTTACTCGAATTAAAATATTCCGTTCCACTAAAAACAACAATGTATTGGGCGAAGCTCAAAAACAACGCCGTGAAATGGAAATTCAAATGAGGGACCAAGGAATCCGAATTTAGACGCGGCCTTAAAAATTTGAATTTGGAAGTGTCCGAAAAAAATAAGTATTTGAAATTGGAACGCAATGGCGTCGCCTTCGACGACTCCGAAGGCGCCGTCGCCGCCGCCGCCGGGCCACACGCCGAGCAAGATGGAGCGAAGGATGTCTCACTTCAAGGAGTACAAGTTCTTCAGATCGTTCAGCGCCAAAGTGGAGAACTGGCCGATGCGGAAAGCTGAGCAACTCTGGAGGAAGATGCGCGAGCGGAAAATTGCAGGTCAGTGGTTGTTATTAATTTAAAATTGGGTATTTGACACTACCAATCTATTGATTTTTAATATTTTAAATGATTAAGTTTCATTGGATTTTGCAACAAAAACACTTTAATAACGGTAAACGGTATTTACATTTCAATTTAAAACTTGAGATTTTAATACTAAAGTAATGTATGTTTGCTTTTAATACGTAATTTTAAAATGTTGTATTTTGGGATAATTATTGTGTAAGTATTTTATTACCCTAATTACAAATACCCAATTGTCTAAGATTTATTTTGTTGAATGTGTTTTTCACCCGACTTTTACAGGATACTCTCAATTTGGTTGTATTGTGTTGTGTATTTTGTACCGATCATAAAATTATCAACATCGTTTTTCTTTATTTTTCGTTAAAAATTGTTCATTTAGCATTTCAAAATGTAAAAAGGTTGTGTCGCCCAACGTGGGGCTCGAACCCACGACCCTGAGATTAAGAGTCTCATGCTCTACCGACTGAGCTAGCCGGGCAGTTATACAGGAGAGCGAAATTAACGTACCTATAGTTTCGAATAACTGTGACGAGACGACATCGATTTATTTACAAAACTAGATGAAAACCCGGCTTCGCTCGGGTGAAATTTGACTCATAATACACAATTCTAGGTGCAAAATGTAGATAGATGTTTCTGTAGTCATCGGTTCTCAAAGAATATTAAATATAGATTCATATAGCTTCGTTAGTTGTGTTTAATAAATATGGTAAATAAAAACTGCAAAAGTTTTTACACAAATTATTTTTATTTTATATCAACATTCAAAATAAACTAAGACAAATTAACAAAACAATCAAATTAAATCGTTAATATAGGTTATGTAAATAACTCTTATGAAGTGCTTGACATTGAACACATTCATAAATCATAGAACCAACTGAATGTACTGATACTTGAATGGTGTTATTTGAAAGTGCTAAATATAAATAGTTAGTCCCGGGGGGCTGATATTCTGTTGTACTAAACCTGCTTGAATATTTACGTTTTTTCGGGGATCTGCCCGCCATTTGATATGTTTTCTTTCTCTTCTTCTTCTAAAGAAATAAAATCACTGCTGACTGACAGCAGCTGTTTTTCCTTGTTGTCCGAAGAAGCATCATCACTGTTGACTGACAGTAGCTGTTTTTTCTTGTTGTCTGAAGAAGCATCATCAATCATCAATTAATCTTCGATTAGCGTCAACTCTTCGTTATCAACCTTAAAAGAGAAATATATTTATGAATAACTAATTTAAAGCTTTAATTTAAATTTTTAATGCTATATTGTGTTACTCTTATTAAACATATTTAATAACATGTGATGAAAAAATACACCACATGCAGGAATTGAACCTACATCCTCGACTTCTCCGTTGTCGCGCTCTTACCATCTGAGCTAACTGAGTTTAATAAGAGAAACATATTTTATTTTTAGACAAATATATAAGTATTGTGAATGTATGTAGGTGTAGGTATATCCTCCCACCTCTATATTTATTTTACTTACTCAGTTAATAGTGTAATTAACTTACCTGAAAGTCATCAAATCATGGACATCAAATAAATCTTGTGATGCAGCAGAAGCAGCTTTTTGCTTTTTTGGAAAAAGGTTTGATAGTGCCCGAGCCTTGTTTATTCTAACTGCCTAATTGTTTCTAAGCCACGACACTCGCAATAATTGAAATTATCTGCAAAAATATATTACACAATTATTTATAATAAAAACCAGCCGAGCTCAAGTGGAACTTGCGCATGAAGAAGTCTTATTCTGTTATCAGAAAAAACGGTGCAAAAATCGTGTCTGTTTCTGTATGTTGATAACAACTCAACACAGGCTATGCATGTGGTCATTGATTATTATTTGTCGGGTTAAATAAAAAAAAATATTAAGCCGCTTACCGAGTATAATGTTGTCGCATTCCACACCTCGACTGCACATTTGCATTTGTTTGCAGTTTCTTACAAATATTTTGCCATTACAAAAATTGCATGTCACTGGAATTTATCACTGTGCGAAACTAAATGACATTGACATTTGAACTTCAACTTTTATGGTTATGGCTAATATTCTTCTTCTGTGGTTGAATCGGCCAATATCCGGTTTAAAGAAAAAACATCATAAAAATCGCGAAACGCACTCATCTCCANAAATATAAATAGTTAGTCCCGGGGGGCTGATATTCTGTTGTACTAAACCTGCTTGAATATTTACGTTTTTTCGGGGATCTACCCGCCATTTGATATGTTTTCTTTCTCTTCTTCTTCTAAAGAAATAAAATCACTGCTGACTGACAGCAGCTGTTTTTCCTTGTTGTCCGAAGAAGCATCATCACTGTTGACTGACAGTAGCTGTTTTTTCTTGTTGTCTGAAGAAGCATCATCAATCATCAATTAATCTTCGATTAGCGTCAACTCTTCGTTATCAACCTTAAAAGAGAAATATATTTATGAATAACTAATTTAAAGCTTTAATTTAAATTTTTAATGCTATATTGTGTTACTCTTATTAAACATATTTAATAACATGTGATGAAAAAATACACCACATGCAGGAATTGAACCTACATCCTCGACTTCTCCGTTGTCGCGCTCTTACCATCTGAGCTAACTGAGTTTAATAAGAGAAACATATTTTATTTTTAGACAAATATATAAGTATTGTGAATGTATGTAGGTGTAGGTATATCCTCCCACCTCTATATTTATTTTACTTACTCAGTTAATAGTGTAATTAACTTACCTGAAAGTCATCAAATCATGGACATCAAATAAATCTTGTGATGCAGCAGAAGCAGCTTTTTGCTTTTTTGGAAAAAGGTTTGATAGTGCCCGAGCCTTGTTTATTCTAACTGCCTAATTGTTTCTAAGCCACGACACTCGCAATAATTGAAATTATCTGCAAAAATATATTACACAATTATTTATAATAAAAACCAGCCGAGCTCAAGTGGAACTTGCGCATGAAGAAGTCTTATTCTGTTATCAGAAAAAACGGTGCAAAAATCGTGTCTGTTTCTGTATGTTGATAACAACTCAACACAGGCTATGCATGTGGTCATTGATTATTATTTGTCGGGTTAAATAAAAAAAAATATTAAGCCGCTTACCGAGTATAATGTTGTCGCATTCCACACCTCGACTGCACATTTGCATTTGTTTGCAGTTTCTTACAAATATTTTGCCATTACAAAAATTGCATGTCACTGGAATTTATCACTGTGCGAAACTAAATGACATTGACATTTGAACTTCAACTTTTATGGTTATGGCTAATATTCTTCTTCTGTGGTTGAATCGGCCAATATCCGGTTTAAAGAAAAAACATCATAAAAATCGCGAAACGCACTCATCTCCATTTATTTATGGATCGATGACATGACAACCCAGCAAATAGTGAGTGGATGGTGAACTACTAAAGATGGCGACAGCGGTTTGTTTGTCAGTGCCATCGGAATTTAACGAAATTCTCCATTATCCGAATTTTGCGGATATATGTTGTCGACTCAAAATCGATATTTTTTTATTCTTTGTTATTCATACAAGGTTTCGATCCAGTCTACCGTACCCCTTGACGAAATTATTAATATAGAAGTTAAAAGCAATATTGGAGCGTGAAGCAAATGAATAAGATAAAGTAGCACAACATCTATTACGAAATTGTCAAAGTTTTTTTTATCGGGCGGAGTTAGTTATTTTTAACCATGTTATTTTTGTCACTCTTCATAACAGTTCTGTTTTATAGCTTCAAAACGAGGTCAAGACCGTCTTGAAGTTGTCAATGGATTTCATTTATAAAACGTGTTTATTTTTTCCTGATTTTAGAACAGATAGTAAAGTATTTTTACATTAGGTATTTTCATGAATGTATGAATGTAAGCAACTTCTCTATTTATAGCCTCCTCAAAGTGCTGGACTTGACCTGTATTTATCCAGATCTAGTCCGAATGATTTTACTGTGACTAATAAGTAGGTACCTACCTTAAGTTTAGTCTTATAGGATTATTATGTTTGATTTATCAAGACAGCAAAATCATGGGGGAAGTGACACCATAAGATTTTATTGCCGTAATAACTTAAGTACTTTTCGGTATGTTTGTTATAGAAAATGTATTAAAAATAAAATTATTTGTGTGTGTATTACCAGGCCTGTTCATCTCCGCGAGTTTACATCGAAAACAAAACACGCACGATGGCCCACCTACAGGATACTATTCGACAAGGCCTCACATACGAGCGAACATTGACTCACGCATGCGTATTCTTGTGTATGATGGAAAAAAATAAAGAAAATGGTGTACTAAATACTGTGCAGTATTTAACAACTGCCTAAATAATAATAAAAACACAGAATGTACTTTTTTATGTTGCCTCAAGACACTGAGAGGTAAATAAGAAGTTAATATTATTCATGATAATTCATGCTAAATCATGTATTTCCTCCGCCATTTTCCGCAGTTTGGCACCTCACGTCACATCATTTTACCGAAGTCAGCCCTATAGCTTCGGCGCAGTGCCGATCACTGACGTTTGTCAACAAAATGGTGCTTGACTCATGAGACAGGCTAAATTATACCATATTGTTAGTGACATTGAGCATACATTTTTTTAAATACCTTCGCGAAGTAAAACTTCTGTACGTAGTACTTATTATTATTCTGTGGTATTACACAATTAGGACACTGAACAGTTTGATGATCTGACTAAACTTTGTACTTCTTTTTATTTTATTAAAGACTGAGAAATTAGTTAGTATATCATACAAACAAACATTATTTTACTACAAATGAAGTGTCACTAGGCACAATACTAATAGAACTGACAGTCGCTCTGGAATTTCAATTAAAGCGAGCGACAGCCAATCTCTGAGTCTACAGTTAAGTATTTTTAATCTAGCGCTTCAAGCGTAGCAACAGGCTTTGTTTCTAATTAAAAAGCTGTAGACGCTGTAGTATCAAAAGAGGTTCGTTTCTGAGGGAACTAATTCGTTAAATAAATATACTCTCAAGCTTTGATAACATATACCTTTGTGGCGAACTGGCGAAGCTAAATTATTATTAAGATAATGGGCTGTTCATAAATACAATAGAGGATTTAATAAATCAAATTCAAAAATAATAAGATCAAAGCTTATTAGTTAGTCGGTTCTATTCCAAATAATTATAATTATAATACACTTTTATATGGGGTCCTCATTAAGAAGAATTAGGTATAACATCATGAGAATGAGAATTAGGGGAGGCCTTTATCCAGCAGTGGACGTCATTCGGCTGAAACGAACGAACATCACGAGAACAGTCAGCGTCAAATAATTCGTGACACCCAAAGTAGCCAATAAGTTCGCAACACGTCTTTATTACAATGAGGGCTATCGTTTTAGCGCTCACCAGTTGGCGCCACTGTAGAGTAAGGTCCTGTCACTTGCTAGTAGCGAAGACAGTGGCGCAGACTGGTGAGCGCGAAAGTGGTAGGAAGACTATCGCATTTGCGCTCATCAAGATGGCGCCACTGTAGAGTAAGGTTCTGTCAATCGCCAGGGGTGCCAACTGTTAAGTATAAAAACGATAGCCCTCATTGGAATAAGGTTGTGTTATCAACTTTTTGGTCATTGGGTGTCACGAACTATTTGTCGCTGACTGTATATACTTATTGTAACAAACAGATTCCTATTTTTGGTTGCTTTTTGTGATAAGTATCTAAAAATAACCAGAAAGGTAGAAAATATGTAATGGAGTCGACATCGAAACCGCATTGCGTGGTGGGACCCTAGATTAGAGCAGTCGTAAAGCCGGCTGTATCTTCGGCCGCAGCACGCGCTCGTAACCGTGACGTCATAAAACACGACAATCGTCTGGTGGGTTCAAGATAACCCACAAGTGACCTTGACTTTTGGGACCTTTGGAAAAGTATTGGAAAGGGTATTTTTTTGTGTAAAGCTTTTAATCTAACGCCAGAGTTTTTGATCATCATAAGGTCAGTTAGTCTCCATTGCTGATACACTACTCTCTCCTGTACCAGAGGCAAATTGAGTATTTGGCTTAGTCTCCCCTCGCGTTTTTCCCCACCAGAACAGGATTTTTCATAAAAGCTTTAAAATTACTCAAAATTATTCATCGTTTTGTTCTACTCCTCCAGATGTCAGTTAGGTACGATTGCTCAATACCCAACATTTTATTGCATGGCTCTGTAAGAGCACGGCAGGAGAGAGGAGTACTTAATGTGAATTTAGAATATAACTACCAACTACTTATTATTTTCATAATTCACCATTAAATAAAACTGAAACTGTTGAAAAATTAACCCTTTTTCTTGGCCGTTTTTACAAACAAATGGAAAATATAGCACTTTATATAGATGACCTACGACAAATAAACGCCTACCGCCATAACCGAAGGATCGCTTTGATCTGAAGCCCGCGAACAGCGGGAGTAACGGCGAGCAATAACAAACAGCGCAGTAACAGCTGTAACGCCGACTGTTATCATAATAATCATAATCATTTGCTCACTCTGTACAAATCTTGAGGATTACACTTCAAATCGCAACGCAATGTTTTTTATTTGCCTCGAATCCACAGAGAGTTCTACACTGATGGATTTGTGTAAATTATAACTGTCTACTAAAGATAAGAATAAAATTTCTTGGATTAGCAACTGTTCAACTAAGTTGAATATCAAAATTGTTTAAATTTTATTTTATACTACACATCATAATGTACAAAATATTTTTCAGAGTCAATTGAAACCGTTTTAGCGCTAAAACGAATGTTATAGCTTAGTTACACAAAGCCGAACATAATATTGGGTTTCGATGCGTTTAATATTGATAACTGTGAGCTGCTGTGAAGTACTGTTATTCAAAGTTATTCAATTTCATGTATGCGAGTTATTTCTACTAGTATCTTAATATTGTAAGTCTAGATATTAGCACGTCACTACCTTGTTTAATGTACCACGCAATCTTGTATACCCATTCTTATAAGATACACCATACAAGAATGCATGGTAAATTCAGCGAACTGCTCCTGAATCGTATGTACCTACTACTACTATTTCTATTTATTTATATTATCCGGCAGACAGTGGTGACTGAGTTTGTTGCGGCGCTTCTTCTCAGCACTTGCCAAATGTTGGTCTCGAAGCGCTGGTAGGGTAAAAAGATTATGAGACATGTAGAGGCTCCTTAAGAGCAAAATGACAATTTGTAAGAACTATTTATTAGTCCAAACAAATAAAGAAATTTTGACTTTGACTTTGACTTTATGAAAAATCTGGCTCGCTTCCAGATCCATCAAGATTGCAAGTGTTTTTACTTCAGCTTGCAAGTTTCAAAATAGTGCTGACGGTCTTGTTGGTATTGCTCAAAAATC